AGCTGCTTGTCCGGGAACGCGCTCCCAGGCTGACTACACACACCACTGACATGTGCCTGGTCCCTAAATTGTCACTGTGTCTCTTATCCTTCATCAAAGGCAAGTGCTATAATCACTGAGCGCAGGGACCTGCAGAGGAATGCACTGTACAAAATATAGTCTGATTAGGATATAAACTTTAGATCTATGTATGTGCCTGGAGTGCTAGATAGCTGCCTTGTGATTCGTCATCGAGTGTTTCCCTTTAACTTTCACTGCATTATTGATGCGCGATTCCGATGCGTTTTTCATAAAGCAGAACTCTGGTCAAAATTGTTATTAACCCTTGCAGTGGGGCTACCCCTGCCTTGCAAAGGTTAAAGTGACATTAAAGTAAAAAAAAAATGTTCCCTCCCCCCATGTTAATGTCAGCACTTACCTTAAATGATGTCTCCTATTACGATCTTCTTCTTCTTTCCTGATGTTTTCATCTGTCTCTCCAGCGGTGCAGCGGCTCTCCGATCCAGCACTGACTGCCTTGTCCCTCCGATTCAGCGATATCTGCATGCGGTTGCACGCGTCCATAGACTTACCTTGCATCTCTGCTCGTCTCCCGGCAGAGAATCGGAACTGCGCATGCGCCTGCCCCAAGATCCTTTGTGGCCGTATGAGCAGTTCCTGATTCTCGGCGCGGGAGTTAAGTTTAAACCTAGTTAAAGCGTTTTTGTTTTTTTTAAACTTCTTGCTAGCAGTAGATATAGGCAAAAAAAACCCGGAGGCTTTAGAACTCCTTTAACTGCTTGTTTTCATCTAGGGACTAAAATATGAGGGTGAATCAAAAAGTAATGCCTCCATGTCTGTATTAGATCTATTAGAGTGACTGTTCATGTTCCATGATACCCCACTAAGGTACGCTTTTCTTTTTCAGATTGAGTCATTACAACCATGGATCTGCGGCTAAAACAACGAGCGGTAATTGAAAATCTGGCAAAAGCCATAATCGGCTCAAGAATGTTTATGGAGACACTGTGGTGCAATAACATGGTACATGAACATTCACAGTCACTCTAATAGATCTCAAATTACAGACATGGAGGCATTACTTTTTGACCTAAACAATGCCTGCATCCAATCAGATTGTTCAAGTAATGTGAGAGCCAGCGCAGCCGACGAGCAAGATACTGAAGCCCAGTGGGAGATTCCTCCATCCACACCGTTTAGCGTAGATGGAGGAATCTGTTGCACTTTTCCCATCTGACCATAGAACATCTGCAGATACTCTATAGGTGTATGGCCAGCTTTAGGGCTAGTTCACACCAGAATTGCAGCAATGAATGTGTTTTTGTACATTAATGCGTTTTGCTTGAAATGGGATTGCAGGTGTGTTCCGTTGAGTTCACATGCATTTTTGATGCGTTCCCTCACAATACGATGCAGCTAAAATAGTGCAAGCAGTACATTTTCTGGCTGCATCAGAAAGCGGACTAGTCTAGTGTGAACAGAACACCAGAATCCCATAGGAAAGCATTGTGCGGCATTCTTGATGCAGCTCAAAAATGGAACGGACTACATCTGGTGTGAATGGGCCATTAGACAATGAAGATGAACACTTGGTCTCCATTCACACCTAGGCGTCAGTGTTTCCGTGCGTTCTTTCGCACATCGTTCCCTCGCATGGTTTGCACATTTTCACACACGTTAGACAAAGATGTGCATTTTTTTGAGCTGATCAAAATGCATCACTGTGAATAAAGAAACGTGCTCACAAAATGCACACAGAAATGTGCAAAAACTGTGTGTCGCACGGTTTAATGTGCTTCTATGTGGCCAAACATGCTGTAATCTGCCCGAAAGAAGCTCATGTACTTTTTACAGCTTGCAACAAAACTCTCAGGTGTGAACAGGGGCCATAGAAATGAATGGAATTTCTCGTGTTGAAAGTTTTAATGCACTTAGAAATACCCAGGTGTAAACAGGGACTTGCCATGATTCGATGCAGTTTTTTTTGGGGGGGAGGGGTTGCTTAAAATGGCATTTCAGGTGCATTTGCATGCATTTTTGATGCATACTGTTGCAATCCAAGGCAATTAAAATAGGGCAAGCAGTATTTTTACTGACTGCATCGGAACTGACTGCACTGGTGTGAATAGAGCACCAGAAATCCCATTGGAAAGCATTGTGATGCATTTTGGGTGCAGCAGCCAAACTGAACAGACTGCATCTGGTGTGAACTAGCCCTGAAGGGTCTATTTACCAGTGTTTTCACCCATGGTTTAAACAACTTCATCCTTTTTTCTAAATGAATCTTACATAAATATATATGAATCTTGGGTGAAAGTTCTGTGAATCTTGGAGGAAAACATTGATAAATAGACCCTTAAAGCACCCCTCTGCTCTTTCATGCAGTACATTTTGCATAGTTTACACCTGTTGTAAAAGGGATTTTTACATTGATTGAATTTAAAGTGATATTGTTGGAAACTGCACCAAAGATGCAGCAATCAGGATTTTTATTTTTATTTCATTATATTTTGATATTGATATTTTAAAGTGGAAGTAAATCAAGATAAGAAAAATCACTGGGCGATGGGGATTTGTGGCAGAATACACATGGCAAAAAGAATTCCTCCTCTCTTCCCCAGCTCTTATTTAGTTCTTATAAGTTCTTATTTTTTGTGCACACTATAAAGTGCATGCGCTGTGCAATGTATACACTCAGCCAGAGTTTTTTTTTTTTTCCCTGGAGACATTATCCTTTTCCAATAAACATTCTATACATTAAATTCCTTTTATGAAATAATGCTTTCTATACCTTTTCTTTTCATTCCACAGTCAATGCCAGGCTTTCTGCCTGGCCATCTTCACTTGGTGACAAGGGAGCATGGAGCCAGCCAATCAGGAAGCCGGGCAGAGTGTAATGACTCGCCACTTAGCGTCCTGATTGTTTAGGAAGCTGGTCAATGAGGAAGCCGGATGGCGAGTCATTACCCACCCCCCGGCTTCCTGAATGGGCAAAAAACCGGCTTCATGCTCACTTGTCACCTGAAGACGAGGGCGCATGGAGCCGGCTTACCGGCCAATCAGGAATTCCTGATTGGTCGAGATGCTGGCCAATCAGGAAACCAGGCTGTGAGTCATTACTCGCCCCCCCCGGCTTCCTGATTGGCCAAAAAGCCGGCTCCATGATAATCGGGAAACAGGGTGGCGAGTATTTACGCTCCGCCCGGCTTCCCAGCTAATCAGGAAGCCAGGTGGCGAGTCATTACCTGCCACCTAGCTTCCTTAATGGGACTTCCGCTATCGGCGAGTACCGAAAAAATTATCGGTACTCGATACTGAAAAAACGGCATCGGTGCATCCCTACTTTAGCCTACACATGATAGCACCCAACAGGATTCTACAGTCTATTAATATGATTCTTTGCTAACAGAGATTTCCGATCTGTCGTTGTTCATCTCCTTCTGAAAGTGTTAGTTGCCAGGCTGTTATCCTCACCTACTAGCTTCAGTACTTTCTGAGTCATTGAACTAGGACAAGTATGCAGATTAGGTAAGTCAGAGAAACATCACAAGCCATTATATTTATTCTGGTCAAGTGACTTTAACTATTGAAGTTAGATGGTCAACATACCAACCACCCAAATAACATTTATAGAATGTGTACAATGAGTCAGCTATGGCAGTCTCCATATGACTCTAAATAAAAGTTTACTTTAAATATAAATACAGATATATACATTGTACAAATATGTAAAACATGGATAGGATCTAATGTATTGATAACAATTGGATGAGATGTGTGAAACAGTTTTTGCAGGCTGATGTTTTATGGGCCACATGCAATCTCCTTGTGCCTTCTCTGGGGTTTAAGGACAAAAAAAAGTGCCTACTGCTGTTTTCCAGTTGATAAGATACGCTTCCTTACATAAGATTGCAGGTAGATACTTCAGGAAAGGTTTATGGCTCCTTCATCTTCTATTAAATATTGTATTTAGGGATGCACCGATACCTGTTTTTCGCTATCGAGTACCGATATTCTTTTTTTTTTCAGTACTCGCCGATACCAAATACTGATACCGGAAGAGCCATTCAGGAAGCCAGGCAGCGTGTAATGACTCACCACCTGGCTTCCTGATTAGCCGGGCAGCGTGTAAAGACTTGCCACCCGGCTTCCTGATTAGCAGGGAAGCCATCTTCATGCTCCCTCATCATCAGGTGATGAAGAAGCATGAAGCCAGCTGTCTGGCCAATCAGGAAGCCGGGGGGCAGGTAATGACTCACCGACCTGGCTTACTGATTGGCCAGCTTCTCGACCAATCAGGAAGCCAGGCAGCGAGGCATTACACGTCGCCCAGCTTCTTGATTGGCTGGGAAGCCGGCACCATGCTAACGCGTCACCTGGTGGGGCGGGTAATGACTCGCCATCCGGCTTCCTGATTGGCCAGCTTCATTACACTCTGCCTGGCTTCCTGATTGGCCGCCTCCTTCGTCACCAAGTAACAAGGGAGCATGGAGCCGGCTTCCTGGCCGATCAGGAAGCCAGGCAGCATGTAATGACTTGGTGCCCGGCTTCCTGATACCGGAAGCTCGGGTATTGGGCTAGGCATCAGAGCATTTGGGCGAGTATTCGGTACTAGTATCGGTATTGGTACATCCCTAATTGTATTGTATGTTGCATTTTTTTTATGGTAAAGTGTATGTGAAGGCAAAATATTGAACAGATATAGCAATGTATAATTTGAGAGCAGGTTTAACAGGAAGGAGCCCTTTCCTCCTTAAAGCTAGAGCAACACACCAGAAGCCCAATATCAGTCAAGGCAGCTGAAGATTCTAGTGTGTACCTGCACCAAATTGCTTTGCTGGATTAGATGCAGACATTACACTTGGAGTCTTCGTGTTCCTGAAGACACTCTGCTAAAGTCTTTCCTATCAACATTTTGATGACAGGCATTTC